ATAAAATAATTATATAATAGTTATTAATATAATAATAGTTATAATCATATTTTAACACAACAACAAGTTTCTTTGTCACATTTTGGTTGCAGATTTTCTTACAATCACACAAATATATTATTCATAAATGTAATAGTCGAAAGGATGTTAAATTAAGGAGAATACGTGAATAGAGTGCTCTATTTCTTTCTTTCCTCTCTGTGTAGAATAATTAAATCCTATAAATAGTATATCTCTCTATCTTCAACAGCCAGTGGTATAGTAAAGTATACCTTTTTTTGAGGTACCTATATATAGTTTCCTCTCCCCGTTTTTCCGCCCATGTTGATATACCAAATACAATACTGACGGAGAACATGGCATGCACACACACACGCGCACACATATACATACACATACACACATCTATCGACAGGTAAAATGCGGATGTGGGCTTATCGTCCGTATGCCTGCGATCGTCCTAGCGTATATCTCAGTATACGATACAACGGTATATCTTCGTTCGTCTTTAAATCGGGATGAGAGTGCGACGAGAGAGAAAGATTCTTTTCAAAAAAAAAAAAAAAAAAAAAACAACAATCGAAAAAAAGAAGAAACAAACGTCGCGAATCAATTCTTTTCGTGTCGCGATATGTCGTGCGACCTCGATATTCCCTGGTGATACACGTATTCATCCACCACACAGGAAATCTTTACACAGCCAAACAAAAACTTGAAAACTTTTGGTCCTTCGAGTTCGAAAAGCAAAAGGAAAGGGAAAAAGTCCCGCTGTTCCCTCCCTTTTTTGTCTATCTCTCTTTATACATCTATCCATCTATCTCTAACTCTCCTTTTTATTTCTCTCTCTTTCTCTCTCGCTCGCTCGTCCCTCTTTTCCTCGGTTGATCGACGGGCAACATTCTAGAGAGCACCGCGCGCTAGTTTTGCATTGTATTTGGTGATACGTATATGAATACTGACTCCGTGTATGGCGTTACATATAATACAATAGTATCCATTACGTATATAAGAGTGTATATGCATCTTATAATTTTCTTTCTCTCACACATTCTCTCTCTCGCCCTTTCTCTCGCACTCTCGCTCTCTTCTATGTTTTTACGTCCTACATCTCCGTTTCGATCTCCGCACACACTCAAACATATATTACATATAATCTTTTACTGCGTGACGGGATGGTGGCCTGCAGTCACTCGGACAGTAGCACTCTCCTTTTTATTTCTCTCTCTTTCTCTCTCGCTCGCTCGTCCCTCTTTTCCTCGGTTGATCGACGTGCATTCTAGAGAGCACCGCGCGCTAGTTTTGCATTGTATTTGGTGATACGTATATGAATACTGACTCCGTGTATGGCGTTACATATAATACAATAGTATCCATTACGTATATAAGAGTGTATATGCATCTTATAATTTTCTTTCTCTCACACATTCTCTCTCTCGCCCTTTCTCTCGCACTCTCGCTCTCTTCTATGTTTTTACGTCCTACATCTCCGTTTCGATCTCCGCACACACTCAAACATATATTACATATAATCTTTTACTGCGTGACGGGATGGTGGCCTGCAGTCACTCGGACAGTAGCTTCTGCAGCAACGACGACTTTGGATCACCTCGTGCCACCTCCTCCATAGTAGTCTGAAATCAAACGGCTTCGTGAGAACTGCGTTTTTTTATTTTTTGTTTATTTATTTATTTTTTCCTTGCATCGGATATCAACGTGAATTTCGAAACCGATCGCGGAGAGAGATGCACGTAAAGAGCATTAGAATGTTAAAAACTACAAGATATTAAGATTATTGATATTCAATAAATTTTTATTTTGTATTTCTGGCATCAAAATACTCTGAAGCACGTCTTTAGAAATATCAATAATTTATGAATTTTTAATCAAAATGATTCGCGAAATTAGTTGTGTTATACCAAAAACCATTTAATAAAATCAATTCGTGAAAATGAAAATCAAGGATTTACAATTGAAAATTTGTAAAATCGATTAATAAAATGGAAAATCTTACGTCAAAGAAAAAGATCTGTAATATCGAGATTGTACGAATCTAAAATCTTTTGCAATTAAGAATATTTATAATTAAACTAAGTATTTAGGAAATCAGACATTTCTGGTGATCGGAATCTATGAATTTCGAGGATACATGTCTACAAGAAAATCAGGGTGGAACTAAGAATTCAAAATATTTTAAAATCAAAGATCCGTTACTCTGGGAATTTATTAAAATTATGGATCTGTAAATCTGAGATACTTGAAAAACAAAAAATTTATAGATCCAAGGAATAAGGAGTAAGATCTCTATAGCGGACAATATTTCTCTGACAATCGGTTTGAAATCACTTTAATAGATAAAAAAATCTACTGCATTTTTTTCCTATCATACAGAATATCGAACATTGATATCTTCAAGTATGTAGTTTTTCACATACGCGTACTTTTATAGAATAACTGTTTGGATCTTTGTAAAAAATTACACAATAATCCGTGCATTCAAATGCCCATCATATCGGTATTGAAATGCATAGATTCTTTCAATGAGATTTAAATACATTCAAATAATATTTCATCCTGATACAAATCTAAGAAATAAAACCGTACTTTCTCTAAAGCCACATAGCAACTACACATTCAAAATCTCAATGCATAATAATGAATGCTATGGCAGCAAAAATTTTTCAATCGAAAAATATTTCGTTAATTGGATATTTTTCACTTCATGATCATGACTATAAATAAAAAATAAAACCTCACTTCTTTACAAAGCAGAGGATTGATAATTACTGTACTTTTTAACCGTTTCATTTCTAATTAAATATAATAAAAAAATTTTTTAATTTTATATTAATAAATATTTATT